TCCCTCCTCCCCTGCCCTGGCATCTCGGCTGGTGCCACATCTTGAACCCAGCTGGGCACATTTCCGAGAGGGGCACTTTATCTCAGGTGGGCCTTTTTAATCTATTTTCTCATTAATGGAGCAGATTTGTTAATTTACATTCTCAAGGTGTATTTGAAAATGCCTAAGAAACAACAGAAAACTAAACATACAAAGCCTGAAATGGAAGTGGATTGTTCCCTTCAGATCTTACTCAGGTAATTAATTTACATGTTCAAGATCAAGAGGTGTTAGAAACAGACCATGAAAATTCTATTCTTACTTCTGAAGCTCTGGTCCTAGGCATTTCTAAAAATTATTCTAATGCTCAAATATTAATTAAAATTCAAGCATTAACCCCTTTAGTGGATTCAACCCAAGCTAAAGCTAGTGCTGATATGGTGAAGGTATGAAGTGATTTATTGACAAGCCAAATAAAATGAAACAAGGCATTAAGTCCCTGGATAAAAACTTAGCAATTTTTGGACTCTAATATGAACATTTTACGAGAAGATATGAAAGTGACACAGGCTCAAAACTTAAAATTTCAGCAAGAGCTGGAAGATTTGAAGAAAGTTGTAGTTTGATCACATGTGCCTAGATACGTGAGCTGGAGGACAATTTCAAAGAAAAGAAAAGAAGGAAGCACTTAAACAATTAGTGCAATTACAGGGTGCCAGATGACATGTCAGAACTTGCAAATTATTGATTTGCCTAATATTATTTGCCTAATAATATTGAGTCAGAATCTCAACAAGCCTTACCTGACTTTATAAAACAATATTTCTTTCAAATTCTTCAAGATTATGAACTAGAAATTTTGGATGCATATCAAATTTATACTAAAGTTAATATTCCTAGATCATCTGCTCCTATTACTGTTACATTTGCAAGAGTTACCAGCCAACTACTCACCCAATATCTGTGCGTTTGATTTCTTATTCCTAAGTAAAGAACTCTGCATTAGTCTCAACTACATTTCAATCTATAATTTCAGGCCATCTAATTTATCTACAGTAGATGATTTTAGGGTGTTACCTATCCCACCAAATTTTCTGCCATCTGACAATATGATAAGCATTCCCTCTTTTTCTTATTCCAAGTTATTGATGAAAATTTTGAAAATGGATTAACTTGATATACAGCATTCTACAATATAGAAGTTAAAGAATTTATTTAGCACTTGTGTTTTCCCCTCCCCACCCCGAGTAGGATATCTGTGCTGTTAACAATTTTTATAACAAACAAAAATGGAAAAGGTGGTACTGTTCCTGTCTTTTCATTTCAGTAAAGAAATGAAAAGAAGAGTTTACTTCTTCAGTTTCTGCCCGGGTAGATAAAATGCAGCTATTCTAAGAGGTAGTATCATAGCTTAACTGTAAACGTAATAGAAATAAATCTTAGTTTATTGTCACTTGGATCTAGCTTTAAGGACTCTGAGTTTGCTCCTCTCCTACATGCCATATGTATATTCATTAATTTGTGTCTCTTTTTCTTGTCTTATTCCACCTTAGCAATCTTTGATGATGTTGCTGTTCATGTGAAATAGATCATGGCCAAAACTCCTTCATATTTTACTCTGTGAAACATTGATTTTGCCTTTTGACACATATTTAAGGGGAAGTATTTAGCTTTCCATCGAATAAAGAGTTTGTCTTTTGGTATAGAGAAATGATTGATGGGGATTGTCAGTTGTACCTCCAGAATGGAAACTCTGTTTCCATATAGAATATTGTAAATAAAGGTGAAGACCATCATTAGAGAGACATACAGGTAAGTAAATCAACAGTTCTTATTTTAAAAGGTTGCATTTATAACTTGTGCTAATATTTTATATGGCTTATATGTACTTACTGATGCTGTGTGGACATATTTACATAGCATATTCACAGTACACATACGGGGAAGGCATAATAGGAATCTGTAATAGAAACATGATACAATTATATTTTTTCGGGTTATATTAAAATATATCATATATAAAGGAATATAGCAGGTTATCCAGGACTTAGCTGTCTGATCTCTAAGAGCTGACACCAACTTGATGGCACATAAAAAAAATCAGTGATTGGGTACAATAGCATTGTTCAAGTTCCTGAAAAGATATCACACAGAGAAAGGCGAAAACCACCTGACATTTGGCCAAGAGTTCAGAATCCAGAATAAAGGATTTAAGTTACAGAAAGGCAGATTCCAGCTGAACTTTAAAAAGAACTTCCAAGCAATAAGAGAAGTTCCACAAAGGAAGTAGTTCCCAAGACAAGCAAGAGTCTTCCTTTTACCGGATGTAAATGGGCTCCAATTTGTTTGGAGCTAAAAGAACCCTTTGAAATTAAGGAACTAGATGAGGGCATTGGTACAAAACACTTCCCGTTGACCAGTTAAACATGCTATACAAATAGAACAGATTTTTTTTCTATCAGCAGGGAAGGAATGACTAGTGATGCTTACACTGCATATTACAGAGTCAGAGAATAGGCAGCACAGTGGGGCTAATCCTTTCTGTTGTGATTTCCAGAGAAAAATGAGCAAAACAAGAGATCAAAGCCTCTATTGGTTTCTCTTCCTTTTCTCACATTGTAAAAATATTTTAAAAATTCACCCCAATCCTCTTGGTGGATTAAAAAATACAGGATAGTGCAATTCAAATAAATAATAGCAATGAGACAAAAAGCAAGATTCAAGATTGTGGTTCACATGCCACAAATTAGCCAAGCATCTTTTGGTTTAATGTGTAGTGCAAATACCATCCAACCAGTTTGATCCACTGATGATTGAATGTGTTATCTGAATCCAGGGAATTTGGTTAATTACCTGAATGTTATCCAGGACCAAAGATGCTATGCATAAACAGTATAGAAAGCAGAATGCTGAGAAGTGCGCACTGCCCTAGTGTGAAATCTACATCACACCCCCTTCCCCTGCCTTGCAGTCCAGATATGTTGGGATTGCAATTTCGATTAACATGTAGGCTTGGAAGTTTGGGAATTTCAGTGAAATATATCTGGAGGGTACCAAGTTAGGAAATGCAGTTCTAAGTGTTTATCAGGACAAGGAGGAAGAAAAGTGATTGCTGTTTACCGATCACTTTGCTACTTCTTCTGGTGAATCCACTGTTTTGGGTTTTTTTCCCCCCCAAATAAAACCTCAGTCTTAAGCACGTTTTTTCCCAAATACATGTGTGACGTCATTGTAGTTACGTCTTGCTTTATATTTTCTACTTAATTTTTGTTATCTTCACAATGCTAACGCATAAAGGAAAAATCGAGAAACACATCTCCAGGAGGCCCCCGACCCTTGGTAAACTGGAGACAGAAAAGCGGGGAAGAGAAACTACATTACCCAGCATGCCAAATGCCTCCTACTTCCGGCATTCTCACGTGATTATCAGTATCGTTATGGCGGAAACTGCGGAAAAGGTAAAACTTGTAGGTGCAGCAAGCTGGTTATTATAAACTGACTGGAGAGCTCTGAAGAGTTTCAAAGAAATAATAATAAAACGGAACTTTGGGAGGTGGGGGCTTATGTGTGTTCCTGATGTTGGTAAAATAAAGTAGAAATCCAGCGGGATCGCTGTGTTAACAAATGGAAAAGGAATTAGGGGATGGGACTAAGCTTTTATGCATTTGGGAAGGACGAAGAACCTAATAGCGGGGAGAAGATAAAAAGGGAGAATTTGGAGGTCAGAAGAAGACTGGATGATTGGGAAGGGTTGCTAAAGAGCTTAAAGAAAGTGAGAATTGTGCGGGTTTCCATTTCGGATTGCACGATGCCGCAATAATACAATATGGGACAGGGAATGCAACATATTATGGAGACACCGATTATTTAATTGCAGACGTTTAATTAACTTACTCCAGAACTGCGTTTCCTTATTGTTATAGATTGAGTTATAAACTATTAAGCTTTTTGAAGAGCAGTTGTCCTCAACTTTAGCTGACTGATTTTATGAATTTTAGTTGCTGCAATCTTAAATTTTAGGGCTGTGCAGCACTCCAGATTCAATCTCCAAAAACTCTTCAAAGCTTTTGAAGGGAATGTGAATATAGTACCAGTCTGCAACACCTTAAGGTAGGTGCATGTAATTCTAGGAAAAGATGCAGTTGCTTTAAGAAGTTGCAGGCAGGCTCTGTGTGCATGTCCCCATCTGCTTTAAAGCACCTTTTGGAGTACTGCACAACCCTATCAAGCAGTAAGTGTTGTTGGCCTGGTTTACTCTTTGCATTATGCCATGGTTTGTTTAACTGTTTGTTGAATAAGTCATAAGTAACAGATCAAGAAAATGTGCCAAGCCATAAACTATGGTTTACAAACTACAAACTCTTAGCATAACATGCTAAGGGAAACCTTTAAGTGTGTTTATATGATACATTAAGCAGACTTAATGCTATTTACTAGTTCTTATGGATAGTTGCCATGACAGATAGCAGGTTAAAGCTCATTCAGTCATGGTTTGCCAGTATCAACCAACATTTCCTGCATATGGGTTGGGAGGAAGATGACTTCTTATGAGTCCCTTGATGTTTCCTTTTCACTCCTTCCCAGAAATTTAACAAGGTTTGATGAAGGTTAGATGACACATGCCTTGGTTGCAAATTATATTTAGGACTCCCTGTCTTAAAAATAGCTTTACTTTAGGTTGAGGTTAGGAGTATATTCTATGATACTTATCAGAACATGGTATTAAATTGCACTGAATAGTAAATCTGCATTTGGGTAAAAGAATATTTCAAACCAAAATCTGTTCTGTTTGTTTAAGATGACTTATTTTAGAAAGATGTGCCATTTGTATGTGAAAAGAAAGGAGTTTGTCTCAATTAAGATAGTACTTGCTCTATGAATTTATTGTAGTGTTAGTCTATAGTAACTGAAAATCAGGAAGTGTAATGGTACCTTTTCTCACTAACACAGTTTATTAAAAAGCCTAAGCTTTCATGAGTTGTAACTCACTTTATTGGATGCATCAGATAAAGCAAAACAAATAATATCTATCTGTTTAACAAGAGAAGGGTCTCTTATTCTTAAACACATTAATATTCATAAAGCATTCCAATGGATCAATAAAGTTTATAAACTGAAAGTTAGCTTGCTCTCTTACTTTACTATGGAGCAGCAAGAACATTTAAGAGCTCATTTGGTGGACTGGCTGCTGAGTTGGATTTTACATTTGTTAGAAGAGGTCTGCTTGTACATTTGTTTTCTTCTGGTTGTTTTTGTGTTCATAATTGCTTTTTTCAGACCTTATTTGTTTTATTAGCTGCCTTAGACAGAATGTCTTTTGCTCTAAATTCAGTGAAAAACAAATGTGTATCTACATCGAGTTGGTTGTCATTGATACTGTAAACTTTTGAATGCCAGATTAGAAATTAGATTGTACCCACTCATTAAATCTCAATGTGTATTTTGTCTGTTTAAAATACTGGCACTTGATTCTGTGATGACAGTGATCTAAAAGCTGAAATTTGTGAATATATAATTTGTTTTTTCAGAATACTTAATTACTTTTGAGTCTGCAAAGAATACTATAGTTTCAAGTAATATGTAATCAACCTTTTAAAAAGATTAGTGATATTCTTCTCCAGAGAATTCAGTCCTATCTAGATTTAAAATATTTTCTTCTCTTTTTCTTGGCTTGATCAGGAAAGATAATCAATAAAGCTGTGATCCTCTGATTTTTTTTTTAATGTCAGCTTTTCAAAATCCTAACAGAAGAGATTTAATGTAGGATTTTTTGGAAACTGGAAGTTGAATATAAAATTGAGACCAAGTGACAGATGTCACAGTTGACTGCTGCTTGCTGTCTGCCATGCTTCACATGAGGATCAAAACAAGGCAGTGGGAAGAAAAGAAGTTTCCTTTTACAGTACTTGAAGTCAGAACAAAGAGCTGAGCCATTTTATGTTGCATACAGATATTCTATTTCTTTTGTTAAAATCTAGGAATGACAATATATAAATTCATAAGTATGGGGGAACTACAACATCAATATGCACAAATGAAAGCCTTCATGAAGTCATGATGCTGGCTTCTGGCAGATTAGAAGCTGTTTCAAGAATGTATGCATATTCCTTTCTGGTATTTAACCATGGTTTCATGGCATGTGTATAAGTCCAGCTTATGCAGTTACAAAAACTGTAACTTTGATTTAAAGTGAGTCTGCAAATAATGTGTGTGTAAGATTAAAAAAAAAAAAGGTCCTTTATTTACCATCCAAAGGATTAAAATTAGCCATGAGTGTAATTCTTTCGGAGAGTGCTAGATAGCTAAAAGCAGTTAAAAACATCTATGCATTTTAAAAACAAATGCATTAACATTTAAAAACAAAAATAGCAGCTCTGCGATATCCTGACACCATTCCTGCATCAGCTCTGCTAAGTACAATCACCTCTAATATTTGGACTCAGTTTCAAATTAATTTTCCCCCTCTCTCTTTTTTCTTTTTCCTTCCCCCCCTTTTGTTTTTATTACAAGATTACAAAATTCAAAAGATAAAGAATGGAAACAATAATGAATAGTAAACAATAAATTACAAACAAAACTAAACAGAACCAAGAAATAGAAAAGGGAAAAAAGACTCCCCAAATTTAAAAAACCAGAAAAAAAATACAAATATCAATATTAAACATGTAAAATATATATATTGAACATATAGAAATCACTGGTTTGCAAAAATATCTTATAATAGTATATTATTATCAACTAAGTAATAATAAAAATTACCTTAAAATACTATTCCATTGTAAAATACTGTGAAATCTCTATCAAAGAAGAACATACTGCTTCTTTTCTGATGGGTTGAAAATATTGCGTTTTCCAGAATGGATAAATTACCGATTTCTAAAAAGCCAGTTCTTGATGTCTGAAATAATATTACTTTTCCAATTTCTCAGAATAATTCTTTTCACAGCCCTCCATGCCTGAAACCCCATAATTCCTCAAAGGCACTCGGATTCCAAAGTTTGGAAATATAATTCAACATCACATTAACATCCCTAACATTTAGGGATTTCTGCATAGATCTACTTATGTGTGTCCAATAGTTCAAAAGAGTCAGTAATCCCTCAATTTTTTTTACATCTGTAACAAAGAAAATCTGATATCCATAGTTTCAAATACATTATTTAAAATACGATTTTTGATGGATCAATTTTAGTCTCAAATCCATCAATACCAATGGAACTTTTTGTTAAAGGACATTGTTATTTTACATTATTCCAGTTCTTTGGTCCATGATTGATAAATCCCAGCAGTATACACTTTAAAAATGTTATTTAACAGTCCCTAGGAGTCAACACTGACTTGAAGGCATAAAAAATAAAAAAATTAAAAGATGTGGGTTTAACATTCATTATGAATTCCATCAAATGAGAAAAACTTCTCAGTCTGGGTTCATTAAAAACCAACAAGCATCATATAATATATGTTAATAGATATCATGGATCTAGCTAAAGATAGAATGGACTCTGCAATATTTGTATCTCTTGATGTGGAAGAAATCTTTGACCTGGTTCAGATTAAATTCTTAAAGCAAGCAATATTTTGTTCTTTGGATTGAAATTTATTATTTGCAGCCCTGTGTAAGAGTTAAAACAAATGGAATGATTTCAGACTCCTTTGAGTTATAATATGGCACCTGCCCACTTACTGTTTGATCTATTGATTCTTGAACCTTTGGCAATTACTGTAATGCAGTCTTAGGATATTACAAGGTAGTCCTTGGTTAATGATCACTTGTTCAGTGACCGTTCAAAGTTACAATGGTGCTGAACGAGTGGTGGTTACAACCGGTCCTCAAAGTCCTGGCCATCCCAGCACTCCTACAGTCACGTGATCACAATCTGGGTGCTTGACAACCAGCTTGCGCTTATGACAGTTGCAGCATTCTGCGGTCATGTGATCATGATTTGCGACCTTCCCTGCTGGCTTCCCACAAGCAAAGTCAGTGGGGAAGCCGGCAGGGAAGGTTGCAAGTTGCTTAGGTAAGTCTCCCCCACCCATGCAGCCTGCCCCAGCACCTCTGCACTCACACCTTGCCAGCCACACACACACACCATCGCGCACCCTCCCTGGCCACTCATGCACTCTTGCAGCAAGCCACCCCAAGTCCTGGCCGTTTGTGCACCCTCTCCCACCTGGCAGCAGCCACCCCAAGCCCCGCCACGCTCATGCCGCACCTCCCCAGCCACCCACTCACCCAGTTGCTTTCTCTCCCACCTGGCAGCAGCCATTTACCTGCCTGCTGGCCTGCTTGCAAGCCACCTGGGACTTGCAACTTCCTGCTGGCTTCCCCACTGGCTTTGGTTGTTGGAAGCCGACAGGAAGTTGCAAGGAGGTGCTTAGTTAACTACTCATGATCCTTGCTTAATGACAGCAACAGGGCTGCAGGGACTGCCATTGCTAAGCAATGCAGTCACATGACATTGTGCTTTATGACTGCATCTCTTAGTGATGTCAATTCTGGTCCCAATTGCCATTATAACTCAAGACTACCTGTATAGGTATTATAGGTATTGATTTGGCAGGTTTTGAATATGAATTATTTTTAAAATGGTGATATTTTAGCACTTCACTTTAGAGTTTAGTATTCTACCTCTTTGCCTAATTTTATATGGATTGTACAGTATTTTGGAAAGTATTGTGGCTGTAAAATGAATTAGGATGAACCTTGCTTATTTCCTTTAGGCTCTAATTAAATATTTAATATAATTAGTAGGAATTACAAAACCCAGATATGTAAACAGTTGGGTTTTGTGATTCCTACTGATTATATTAAATATTTCTAATTATGTGGAAATAAGCATGTTGAAACTTTTAAAAAGGATTGATTTGGATGTTAATAGATGGATTAAAATTCCATTAAGTTTGTAGGGCAAAATTAATGCTATAAAATGAGTATCACTCCTACAGATAGGAGTGGAACTACTGCAGCAGTTTATCCCTAACCCCCAACACTTATAGGCCATTTAGAATAACACTAGCAAACACCACTTCTGAGAGGTCTAAGGGGTGGGCCTTACTCATTCCCTTCAGGTCTGTGATAAAACCATTAATCAGTGACCAGTGTTGTTTCTATCCTGACTAGATCTGAATCCAGATAGTGTTTAGGGGTTGGATACCGGGGATAATTTGAGATAAAATCATTAAAATTGCATGACAATTGGCAAACCTTTTGAGATTTTGCAGGGAGCATAACCCCATAATATACTTGGGCCTAAATAAGTTACTGATCCCTGCTTTTGGATATTAAGCTTTCAAGTTGGTTTACAAGTTCAGTTCAGTTCTGGGGGTTTTTAATTGTTTTTTTTTTTCCTCTGTTAAGTAATTTGAGAGAATCCAGTAATGGCAGTAGTCTGTATGAAACTTTTACTAAAAAGAGGCAGAAAAATTCCAGGATACCAGGTTACTTGAGTCAAGAAATACGATTCATTAGATGTCTAGAATTCATTTTTCCCCCCAATCCTATGCAAAGCTAGTGTATAAAACATGTTGTTTATAAAGAATTTATGAAATACCTTTCAATATATATAGCAATTGTTATTCCTTCACCAGCTTGTACCTGATAAGTCTGAGTTTTGAACTTCATAATGATAGAGCACTCTTATTTTTAAAATTGACTACCAGATGCGTTTTGGCCATAAGTTAACTGTTCCAAATTCACTTTGTGGCATAAATACAGTCCTATGATTTAGCTATTATAGTCAGTCTCTTTCACTGTCTCTGTCTCTGCTGCAGTTATTCATCTTATTGTCAAAATGTTACCTCATAAGGTTTGTAATGCTTTCTCTTTCTCATGCAGTCTTTATTTCTATCATGCCGCTGTTAAAATGCTTACATTCAGTGTCAGCATATTAGATGTAACCTTTTATTGCTATTGATAACTGTAAATAAGTTAAGTAAATCTTCATTTTGCTGACCTCTTGAAGGAGGCATGGTATCAGCAGATTTTGCTACTGGACAGGTGAGAGATTAGCAAGAGTAGACTCAATTTCTTTTGTGTGTGTATGTACGCGACGGTAAGATGCATTGCTTTCTGAGGGAGATATTTTAAAGCAAACCTTTTTTGATGGTTTGAGCAATGTAAGACCAAGAATAATGTTGCTTTTCATCCTATTTGCTTTCTGAGTTCCTCTTGAGTAACTTTAAATTGCTTAAGCCTTTGAAAGAGATCCAGCAGAATCTACATTCTCCTGTAAAGACAAGAGGCTTCCCTATGTAAACCACAAAAGCAAAAAGTTTAAGAGATGTTTTTTTAATGAATGGGAGAAATATATCCAAATACATGAAATTTTTATTTAAAGTTTTGGTTGTAACAAACATGCTAAGAAATACTTGGGATATAGTTCAAAATGCACTTACATTTCACCATTGGCTTCTTTGATATTTGTTTTTAGCTTGTATACTTACATTGTGATTCTACATTGGGCACTGCATGGATAGAAGAGTGGAGCATAAATAGCTGATGAGTTAATTATTGTATCACTCTTCTGCATATTCTGAGTATTCAAATTATCTGAGCCCATTGAGTTTGTATTCAGCAGCTATTACCTGCATAATAATATTCAAGCTGTCAAATGTAGAAAGTATCATTCTGTTCCTTGGAAAGCTTGTCCAGTTTCTGCTGGGACTGCAGTGTTTGCTTAACATTTGTGTTAATTGATTGTATGGGGGACATTTGCAGAACTGAAAAAACTGCCCAGAGATGCTGTGAATGTAAGACATTTTGATGGAAAATACAATCCTCTGCATAGATTAAATGGAACATCTGCTTCTCTTTGTTTGACTTTTATTAGTGAAATTATAATTTGGTATATGAACCAGAGGGGTAGAATTAAACATTTCAAGACCTTTGTGGTAAATACAGGTAGCCCTCAACTTATGACCATTTGTTTAATGACTGTTCAAAGTTACAACAGTGCTAAAAAAATTATTTATGATCGGTCCTTGCACTTATGACCGTTGCAGTGTCCCTGCAGTCACATGATCAAAATTCAGGTGCTTGGCAACTAGCATGTATTTACTGGCTTCCAACAAGTAAAATCAATGGGGAACCACATGCTTCACTTAACGACCATGTGATTCACTTAACAACCACTGCAAAAAATGTCATAAAATTGAGTGTGGTCATGTCATGACTTGCTTAACAACCATACCTCTTAACAAATTTTCCGGTCCCTATTGTAGTTGTAAATTGAGAACTACCTGTTTGCCATTCAGTACCCATTTCTGCAGTGGTTTGGTGAATATCTGAGGATTAAAAGTCAGAGGAGCAAGAGTTTCCTTTGCAAAACATGGATAATTGCCCAAAGCTGGTGTGGTAGGAATGCTTCTGTGTATCTGAAAGCAGCAGAAAGATTGTACACTATCTATATTAGGCAAATAAGCAACAATACTGTAATTATCTGGTACCTCTCTATACATTCTGGATAACATATAATTGTATAGGAATGTAGAAAACACTGTCCTTTTGCCTAGAATATGACCACCATTTTGCAGATTTGTGGTGGGTATTTGTCTTTTATTTTAAACAACTCTCTCCCACCCCTGCACCCCAAAGAAAAAATATACTTTGAGTCTGCAGTCTGATATTTATTGGGGAGTGAATCCCACTGAGCTCAGTGAAGTGTACAGTACAATAGGATTGTACTGTTAATTTACCAACTTTTTCCACATTGTAATTTCTTCCTCCTTTTATATGGTTTTCAGGAGCCCATGACTGATGAAGAAACAACAGATGAGTCTGAGGTAAGGTTATTTTGAAGGGCCTTTATTTTTGCACATTGCTGGGTGATGCAGTTTCATTGAATGTCAGTCTTTGTTAATAAGTAAAGTATATATGTCTTCTTTTCTCTCCATCCCTGGCTTCCCCGCTTCATTTTAGATATGGAAGCTTTTTATTTACAGAGAATTGATGATTGTTTTATGGCAAGGGATTTCTTAAGCTTCAGTTGAATTTGGGATGTGTGCTGCTACTGAAGATGCAACACAGGTGATAATATGGATAGTCATGTTCTTCTGCTAAAACAATAAATCTTAACTAACCTTGTGAGGAGTTGAAACCTATATGCTGTTGTTTTTGTTTTGAATATATAAAATGAGTTTGACATAAAGAACTGATAGCCCTTCTTGATCTCTCAGCTTTCAATACCATCAATCATGGTATCCTTCTGGACTGGCTTAGGGGTTTGGGAATGGAGAGTATGGTTTTGTGCTGATTATCCTTCCTCTGAGGCTGATTCAAGTAGATATTGGTACGGGGAAAAGTATAGCCTTAGGCCTCTGTTTTGCGGGGTGCCTCAGAACTTGACTTTCTCCCCACTCCTGTTTAACATCATTATGAAGCTGTTGGACAAGGTCAGTTGTAAGCACGGGGTTAAGTGTAAGCAAGGGCAGCCCCATGTAGAGCGCATTACAAAAATCCAGATGGGAGGTGACTAGGGCATGAGTGACAGTGAGTAGGTCCCTCTGATCTAGGAATGGGCACAACTGGCACACAACATGAAGCTGTACAAATGCCCTCCTAGCCACAACTGCCACCTGCTCTTCAAGCAGCAGTTGTGAGTCCAGGAGGACCACCACATTGTGCATAGGATCTGTCTGGGGCAACGCAACCCCATTCAATACCAAAGATGGCATAGTCCTAGCACCAGAAGGCCCCAAAACCCAAAGTCACTCAGTCTTGCCAGGGTTCAGTTGAAGCCTGTTTTTCCCCATCCAGACCCTCACAACCTCCAGGCACCAGGATAAGAGATTCACAGCATCGCTTAATTCTCCAGGGGCCGAGATGTATAATTGGGTATCATCAGCATACTGATGATACCTCACCCCATGGCGACAGATGAGCTCACCCTCACGTAGATGTTAAATAGGAGGGGAGAGAGCACTGAACTCTGCAGCACCCCACATAATAGGGGCCGAGGGCGGGATCTCTCCTCCCCAACCACCACTGACTGGAATCGGCCCTGGAGGAAGGAGGTGAACCAGCACAACACAGTGCTGCCCACCCCCAATCCTCTGAGCCAATCTAGAAGGATACCATGGTTGATGGTTGAAAGGTATCAATATGCGAGTCCTCCTGGATGCACAGCTTTTGCTTAAGGAGCAAGTGGTAGCTGTGTCTAGGAGCGGTTTTGCATATATCCATCTTGTGTGCCAGTTGTGCCCTTTCCTGGATCAAGAAACTCTGTTCGTGGTCACTTATGCCTTAGTCACTCCCAGTCAAATTACTGCAACATGGTTTACATCAGGCTGATCTTGAAAAGGATTTGGAAGCTGTAGCTAGTCCAAAATGCAACAGCACATGCAGTTTTGAGTGCACCATAGTAGGTTAATGCATACCACTGCTACGTGAGCTATCCTGGCTCCCAGTAGGCTATCCTGGCTCCCAGTAGGCTTCTGGGTGCAATTCAAGGTACTGTTTGTCCCCTTTAAAACTCTGCATGACACAGGGCCAGATTACTTGTGGGACTGCCTGTCTCCAGTTATTTCTGCGTATTTCACCAGATCTGGCAGGGTGGAAATGCTCTGGGTTCCTTTTCTGAAACAAAGTAATCTAGTAGGGTCCAAGAGCTGTGCCAAACTCTGTCATCTCCTGAGTTTCAGATGGCTGGGATCCTGTTGGCCTTCTATGAGGTTTTGAAAATCTGGCTTTTTCCTCAAGCATTGAGGCCAGGATGTTAACAGTTCTTGGTATTTCTGCTTGTTCTCTGTTTTGAGTCAGTTTTGTGAGGCACCTCAGTTGTTGTTATTCCTAAAAAGACTGGAAGGTGCTCCACAACTGCCACTTATAGGTAGTCCTTGAGTTATGATGTCAATTGGGACTGGAATTTTTGTTGCTAAGCAATGCAGTGGTAAAGCACGACATCACATGACCGCATCACTTAGCAACAGCAATCCCAACAGTCTCTGTTAAGTGAGGACCGTGGGTCATTAAGTGAGGACCTCACGTGACTGCGACTTGCAGCTTCCTGCCAGCTTCCAACAAGCAAAGTCAACGGAGAAGCTGGCAGAAAATTGCAAGTCCCAGTCATGACAAGCGGGTTAGGCGGCTTGCAGGCTAATGGGCAGGGGAGTGCTACGGAGTGCAGGCAGGCATGCAGGTGGATGCTGTGGCGCAAGTGCAGGTGGGTGAGGGCTGTGGCATGACCAGGCAGGGGTGTGCTGTGGCCCAGTGTGAGGACAGGCAAGCCTGTGCAATGGAGTATGGGTGGGGGAAACTATGGGTGGGCACACACTACAGAGCACAAGATCCCCAGGATCTCATATTCCATAGCAGTGTTCCTCGGGAGAAAAAGTGGGAGCTATAGCATATATATATATATACTTACAGGAGTGACTTGCGACCTTCCCTGCCGGCTTCCCCATTGACTTAGCTTGTGGGAAGCTGGTAGGAAAGATCACAAATGGTGATCATGTGATTATGGTTCACTGTGACATTGTAATCGTGAGCCAGGCACCCAAGTGCCTGGATTGAGATCATGTGACTGTGGGGATGCTGCAACAGCCACAATTTCACAGACTGGTTGTAAGTCCCCCTCGTTCAGCACTGTCGTAACTTTGAACAGCCACTGAATGAGTGGTCATAACTCAAGGACTACCTGTAGCTGCAGAGGACATGTTTACTGTTATTTTTGGGATTATTCTGAAGCTGAAGTGACATGGTCCAGTATATCTTCTCCTTTCTTCTGTAACTCTCCTAACATGTACTAATTAAAATCCTTTGGGGCATTTGCCCTGGTTTGAGCCCATTGTTTTCAAATCCCCAGACTTACTGGTTGACCAACACAGATGTATACAAAGAGTGTAAAATAAATACATAATAATGATTGGAATTGATAGGAATCTTTTATTCTTCCATAAATAGATCCTGGCCATACATCATAAATTATATATGATGTCTTATTATGGAAATATATATAGTCTTTAGCTATTAGATTCCTTTTTTTATGTTGGTCAACCTATGCACACTTCTGAATAAGGCCCATTATCTGTAATCAGGCATTTTTCAAGTTAATATTAAATAGCATCACAGTAATACAACTACTTTTATGACCCTGTCTATTTCTGGAGTATAGTAAAATCTTTTGCTACTAGTGTGTATAATTAGTACATATAAAAATAATGTAAAAGTGGGCAATCAGTTTGTATGACACAAATGCATATTATTACTGCATATTCAATACTTGGCTGTAAGTTAGCACTTAGATCTTAATTTCGTCTGTCAAGCAAACCTTTCTACGGAGACAGTACTACTGGTTTCTGTCAACCCTTCATATAATTGTAACAGATCCTTTTCTTAAATAGTTACAGTGTTCCTGCTCTTCAATTTACTCTCTTATTTCATAGCCCTACATGTGATTTGAGTTATTATAAGCTCTTTTTTATTTAGCAGACAGGCTGCAATTCATTCCTCCTTGATATGATGAGCAAACAATAATATAAACTGGCGTTTTAATTCTGAGGAGAAAAAAGTTGCTTTAGCTTGAAAAGTATACTGCCTGCAATCTTGAAGCACTAACATCTTTTCCTTAACTTCATCTTGTAGTTTTTGAAATTGCATGTGGGTTGCACATCCATTTCTTTTTTTTCTTTCTATTTCTCTTCTCCCACTAAAGATAAAGGACAAAGTTGTTGGAAATGTTACATTTGAGCAGATTTCTGTTTCTCAGAATAATCTGACATGTAGTGTAGTTCTCCTGGCTTATTTGATGTTATGGTGCAAAATCTGGAGTTACCCATTAAGGTTGATGAGGTCCCAGAGAGGGACGAAAACCAAGGTAGACTGTTGATGAGAGAGAATTAGGTTTGTCATGTGTACCCTCTCACATGTGTTTTTGTGAACTTTTTGTTCATATTTCTGCTTTCAAACTCATGTATAGGAAAAAGAAGTAGAACAGAGCTAGAATCAGAAGAGCTTTTCAAAAGACAAACAAGGGCAAGAGCTTGCACAAACTGATGGATTTCTTCTTTTTTCCTTTGAAATTATCTTGTTCTGTATCACAAACTTGTTTTAAATCTTCTCTCAGTTTTTTTGGCATGGAGCATGGTTGCTCAATAAGTGTAAGCTCAAAGTTCCTTTACATATGCAGAAAATTAATTGGGCCTCTTTTTATGTCCCCAACATGCTTTACAAAAATCTACATTTATGTACTGGTCATAAATGTGAGAGATATAAAGTATACTAGTAATAAATCATGTATTGCTATATTCATTTTGTTTCTGGAAGAGCATTTCAGTGCTAGCCACAGAAGTTTTTGCACTTCTGAACACAGGAATTCAGGTAACATCGTCTTTGTCCAGTATGGAACTCATCAACTGTCACTGTATAAACAGTATATTCCTCATTACATTCTGTCTCAAACAAGCCATCAAGGTGATTTCAAAGTTTGCTGTTCTCACTCTTAATTCCTCAGACTTGGTTTAACAGAATACCAGCCTTTAAAATGTGTAGAAGAGTGGCAAAGCATATAATGAGAACATAGTAATAATTCATCATTTTGAATCAGTGGGTGGTTTAAATAATATATTGAGGCTTAATGCATCAATTTTAAAAACATATTTGTGGTGGTGTGAAACAAAACCTGTAATATACATTGTATTAAGACTGGTTTCTAAACCAAATTATTTATCCTTTGATTTTCTAGTATTCTAGGGTAAAAATTAGATAGTTAATTTAATGAGCTATTAATATTAAGTAGAAGAATCAATTTGAAGGCTGTGGAGTATTTAATATAAAAATTGGTGCA